GACCCGGATCGACCCGGATGTTTTTAATTCTGGCAAAATTATAATTTTGGCCAAAATTAAGCCAAGAATTAGTTTTAACAAATATTAAGCATAGCTTAAGCAGAAAAATAAAAAAATTAACCTTTGGCTTTTGAGAATAATATTTTTCTGATAGCTTTAGAATTCCAATTTATCTTTGATTTGAATATCTGCTAATTATTTTGCCTAATTCTTTGACTTTTATTACAGTATATTAAACCAGGTTCAAAATTCGTATTTTTAGTTAATTAGTCAAGGAGAAAAATAAGAGCTAGTGTTACATGTTTTGTATAACCATTCATGATACAAATTTCAGGTGGCTACTAGTGGTTAATCACTAAGTCACCTTTTTTTCAAATAAAAGGAAATTAATTTTGTTATTATTATAAGAAATCCTCAGTTAGTACCCATTTTACTTAAATGTTCGGGTCTAACCCGGGTTACACGAGTTAAATTATACTCGGTCGAGTCAAGGGTCGGGTTACGAAAATATGAGACCCGAATAAATCCGAGTCTTATATTTTTTTATTCAGATCGGGTCGAATATTTCCTCAAAACCCGACCCGACTTGACCCGGTAGGAGCACTAACAATTACTCCATTAGTATTAATTTATGACGTATCAGTTTCGCATAATACCATAATTCGTCGGATTTTCTCCTATAAGGCAACGCAATTATAAAAATAAATCTACGCAATTTTTACCTCACCTAATTAAATCTGGTTAAATTCTCATTTCCAATGAAGTAAATAAAATATAAAAGAATCTTTTTTTCAGCGCATTTGCGTAAGATAACTACTGCTATTATAAAAAAATTACGACGAACCAACTATCAAGCTTGTTTCTCAATAAATTTACCCCACATTGAATCATGTCCAATTCAGCCCTTCGGGAAGCATGCCATTTTTGGCCTTACCCACTGTTTTTTGATCACGATTTCGATGATATTCATGGGGATCGTTGTTTCTATGTGGTTATTTCTCAAACAAAAAAATCTCCGCATGTGTATCTGAAATTAATACAAGTATTTTAATGCGGAGATCAGCGTGAAATTAACGGTAATCTCACCGCAGAAATCAATACCAAGTCACCAATAAACTCTCCGCAAGTGTCTCAGAAATTATTGATAATTCCACTGCAGAGATCAGCAAAATTAAGAATGACTTCACTGCGGAAATCGAAAAAATTAATGCACGTGATAACTCTTTTTCTTCAGGATGAGTGGAATTTTAGCATCGCTCAATTCCATCGCAAGTAAACTTAGTGAGATCGAAAAACTACGGAACAACACCATAATAACTTTTGTGAAATTTCATCTAAATTCACACCGAACAATAATTCTTCAAAATGATATGTTTCAACGTCATGCAGTTGTCCAAAGATCCGACTTTGATCGACCAATGATTCAGCTTCAACTTCAAGTTCTTCTTCAGGATCTTCTTCTGGTTCCGGTGAGAAATATTCTTGATACTGTAATTACACTGTACATATTACTGGGAACTTTCGACTAACATTTTTTAATTGCAGAAAATTCGCGAATATCATTTCTGTAACCCGGGGACGATATTCGGATTAGGGGGTATTATCAGATGTATGCTGTCATATCGGTTGATATTTTCCATGGGCTGATATAAAAAGCGAAAACTTGGAAAAAAATAGGTGCTTGAATAAACAGCTTTACTACTGATTAGCGGAGAAGGAACCGCCGGCGGGTAGGTCACGAGAGTGATATTTCACACTTTATTACTCTCTTGAAATTCTACTTCTCTATCATTTTATTACTTCTATTTTATTAACCGGCTGGCTCTCTTTCATGTATTGCTTACGAAAAATATTGAATAAATTTGTGAATGCGTGTTTATAAGTGAGTTGTTTAAACTTATTTTTTCTCGGCCAATTTACTCCAATGTATTAGTTAAAATATTCTTTATTTTGATTTTTAAACTTGAGTTATTATACATAAAATAAATCGTACTACTACATATGACAGAAATAAACTAGCTAAGTAATAACTGCATTATTTTTTTCTTATTCATCTATTTTTGGACTTTCTTTATCACCTATTAATTTTCAAATTATTCTCTTTAAATTAGCATCTCTTAAAGAAATCATATATTTTAAGATTCAAATTAAGAGCAATGAAAAGTTTATCTAGTACAATTTTAAAGACTTCCATGTCTTTAGGAAACAATCTATTTAGTTTTTCTCGTGCCTCTGTTCGTGTTTGAGATCTGTAACCGTGAAATTCGCAGTTACTTTTGCGTTTCATCAATATCAAAAGTTCATATTCCTCAATCGCTATATGAACGTTATTTAGAGCAATTTCTAGTTGTGAAACATAACTTTTCTCTAATACAGAATTACATTCGCATCTACTTGACCTCTTAAACATTTATTAAAAAAAGTTATCCAATCTTTATATTCACTTAATGCATTTTTTTTCCCTAGTTCGTTTAGTAGACTTTTCGCAAGGACAATGATTACTAACGGTTCTTTGTCGATCCATTCATTATATTGACGAACTATTTTGTGTTGACTTTTAGATCTTTCAAGGGTTTTGTACATTCATTAAAGTTTTTCGTCATGTTTTGCTTGAGGGTTTTCATAAGTCCTATATTCTCAACACGTTTCTCTTGAGATTAGAGTCTTGTCGCACCAATCTAAAGTTTGAGGTATACTGTACTTTATATACCTTTCTGAAATACATAGACTATTGCATAAACTTTTGGTGACTTGTTGTGACGTAATATGGCAAAAATATAGATACTTCGATAAAAATTAATTAAGCATATGATAGCAAAAAAAAAATAATTTATCAGTACGCGAAAAAATTTGATTAATGCGGTCTTATTATTACTCATTAGATTGTAATTCTCTTATTCTTGGAGTATCTATTAAAAAGATGAATTAATGGTGCGTAATTTTTCGCTTGTATGACAACCTACTTGAACTAATGTAAATGTAGCTTTTTGTGTGATACCACCTGATCGTAAAAGGGATTTCTCACGCTATACACTGTCAAAGCCGTTGTATTATTTTCTCTGAGCCTGGATTGTTTGAAGAAACCATTGAACGGTTTTAAGTATATTTTAAAATTTTAGGTATATTTTAAGTCTATTTTAAAGTATATAATTTTATTTTAAGTAAATATTTTTTTTTCACACTGGAATATTTATATAATGTTAGTATAGATGAACTAACCTTTTTTAAATATTTTTTAAAAGAAATCACGTACCATTTTTTTTTTGATTTATATCTTTTTTTTTGTAAAAAAAAAATTTCAAAAAATTAATATTTTTTCTCCTTCTTTTTTTGCAAAAGAAAATTATTATAAAGTTGGAATTAAATTTATAATTATAAGATTAATTTTAATTTTGAAAAAAAAATAAAACCATTAAAAATTCGGTTGAAAAAATCTTAGTAAAAGGAGTAGTAACTAAAATTCGTTATTATTGATTTGAACAATATAGATAAACAAATTGTTTAAGTGTAAAAAAATGTCAAATGGATCATATCAAAAATCTATTCCATCCATAACGATAATCGTGCAACGCTGCTATGACAATAAGACTTTTAGTCGATAAATCTATTTCCTGTTTTAATGAAATTTAAAATTTTTTGGGATTTTACAATATACCAAGAATTATAAAAATGATGAAAATATAGAAATCAATAATATCAAATTAAGAAATTTTAATGATGCACATTTTGATAATGAAAATTTAATTGAAAAGCGATTTACTACGGATTCTTATATAATGTTTTTTTTCGTAATCTAATCCACGAAAGAGCTTTTTAAAAGTTCTAAGAGAGTTGATACAAAATTATTTTGTCTCTAAATTTAATAGTAATATTAAATCACGTCTATCATCGAGTAATTCAGTTGAGATAAAAATAATTAACTTTTTGCAAGGAACGATTCGTGAATCGGGAGAAACATTTTTAAATTCAAGTGCTTTGTAACTCAACGCTTTAGCGTTTTAGTTAAATTGGTAAATCTTCGATTTTGTAAAATGTCATTCCGTTTCTCATACCGTTAACGTTAACTTCGGATGAGTTGAAATTCGTCATTACATATTTTCAACGATATTTTACCGGTTCAGTACGATTTTTGAGAATAAAAATTTCCCTAAATATTATTTTTTTCGCAATGAAAATTTTTCACTGAAAATTATCATCCTTTGTCTACTAAAAACTTCTAAGAATGCAACTTACTTCATTTAAAAAGTTCGTTAAGAATTTTATATTTGATATTAATTTATAAAATATTTTAATATTGGTTATAATCATTTAAAACACAAATTAGGTAAAGTTAATAAAGTTAAGTGATATTTATTATGAATATATAAAATAAATACAACAAAAGTCTTATACAAATAGTTAAATATTGACTTCTATTGATAATCGTAAGTTTTTATCTAGTTTTAATACGTTTTCCTACTTTAAATATTTTAGAATTGTTTAAAATAAAAAATATATATATTAACATAAACAAAAAAAAATGAAAATAGGCATCATTAAAACCAAATAAATATTTACCATTATCGTCATCGGCTTCAAAATTCAATTCTTCAATGTTTCGTTTTGATGAATTTTGAGTTTTTATACTTAAATTTTGTGATGATATCAATTAATTAGTACACAATGTAATACCACTTAAAATTATAATTGAAATACCTTTCAGTATCTATATCAAGCTCTAAATCTGCTGAGATATAATTAGAATCAAAAGAGGCTGAACAAGTTTGAATCTTGGAACTTAAATTTTGTGACGACAAACTAAACAAATAAATTGAAAGATTCAAAATAATAATTAGTTATGTCATTAAAAAAACAAAAATTTTTTGTTTAAATACCTTTTAGTAACTGTATTAAGTGAGATATAATTAGAATCTAAAGTATATAACAATAATCTTATGAATTATAGGATATTATTTAAATTATAATTATCTTTATTTTTAGTAATACCTTGTTTATTGTCATATGAAATTGTCGAGGATGAATTGGTAGATGAACATTTAGAAATTAAATCACTTAATGGTCTACTTGTATAAATTGCTTCTGAGTGATATTTTTCAGCAAATTCAGGTCCAATCTTTTTTAATTCTATCAGTTTCTTCCGTTTTGATTCAGCTTGATCAAATTCTACCTTATTTTTACCTCTAAAAGCCCAACTACCAAAAGTTAAACGAATATCTTTTATAGAAGGTCTTTTTTTTGGATCATGATCCCAACAACTTTTCATTAAATTAGCATAACATTCTGGTGTGTCTTCTGTAATTTCAGGTCGTTCTCCATCAAGAATTTTATAAACAAGACTATGATCATGTTTAACATTAGCAAAAGGTTTACAACCTGTTGTAAGTTCCCACATAATCATACCCAAACTATAAATATCAGCTTTTTTAGAAAATGCTGTCCCTTTAAATATTTCTGGTGCAATATAAGGTATAACTCCATAGATTTCATTATTTGATGATTTATTATTTACAGGATGTGATAATCCTAGATCCGCAATTTTCCATTGATATCTTACTTTAGTTTTTTTTTGGTCATTTTGGTCATTAAATAAATCAAATAATATATTTCCGCTATGGAAATCTCGATGTATAAATTGATTTTTGTGGATATGTTCAAGTCTAAATTAAAAAAAAATTAATAATTTTAAATTTGTGTATATAATGAATACGTTTAAAATATAATTACCCTTCTGAAATTTGCCATAATATACGTAATTTTTGGTTATTCCATGTAATATTTTTAAAGCTCTTTTGTAAGTATTTATGTAAATCTCCTTTTGACGCATATTTTATAACCAATATATAATCTTCTGATTCAGGATCTCTTGTAAATCCATAAATTTTGATTATGTGACTATAAAGTGATTTATCAATACAATGTCGATATGATTTTAACTATAAAATTTAAAGATTTTAATTAACGATTAATTTTTGACAAAAAATTATTCAATAAATATATTAAAATATTTACCTCATTCAAGAAATAATTACTACTATTTTTGGAATTTTCAAATCTTTTTAAAATGACAGTTTCATTATTACTTAACCAAGTTGCTTTATGTATAACACCATAACCTCCTTTTGTCATTTCTTTTACATCTTTAAATTGAGAATACGGCGTCCAATTAATTGGTTTTGCGCTATTTCGTGTTCTAAAAATAGAATTTAATATAGACCTTAATATATCCCATGGTTCATAATATTTATTAATATTTTTTACAATATTTATAGTGTCGGCTAACTCAAAGATATCGTGTAAAACATTATTAAAAAGAAAATCATCAATATCGCTGTGTTCAATATTATTTATGATAAGTGATATTCTTTTACATTTTTTACATTTAGATTCAAGTATAGATCCAAAAATAATGTTTGTTGTTAAACAATATCTGCATCCAACATAAAATATACAACAATTTGTACAATAACTTTGACAGTCTGATGTAAATGTTAACTTTGAATGACATGAGTTACAATAAATATAATTATGCCACCATGGTAAGTAAAGAATCAAAGTTCGCTTTTTAACCAAAGTTGATTCTATCCATTCAGAAGAAATTAGATAACAATCTAGACATAATCTAAAATAATTGCCTTCTTTAAATGGACATTTAAATGACTTTCCACATAATTTACAATAATTTTCACTTTCAACCACCTTATCACATATGTTTTTATCAAGGTCACATATATTTCTACCAATAATACCCCCAACCATTTGTTTAAAACATAAAATTCTCACACAATTTCCACAGCATTCTTGAATATTTCGTGGTACAATTGTTCTACTTATTTCATGATTACTACATTCCAAGTCCATTGTGTAAATATATACGTCCAAGTATGTATTATTATTATCAGTTATATCATTAATATAACGCGATAAACATTTTTTGCAATATTTTTGGTAAGAACAAAGAAATGTCCCAGTATATTCTTCTCCACAATTAAAACACTTACTATCACTTGCATTAAAAGGAAGAAATTTAATTGGTATAGGACTAGATTTTAATCTTGGCGTCGGGTCAAATGAATTTTCATCATTTGTATTCACCAATTCCATTTTATTATGTTAATTATTAGTATATGTTATAAACAAGTATCAATAATGAATAATGAATTTGAAAAAATTTGAACGTATTTTATTTATATCTGAATGATCAATATTAAGAAGATGGAACTTTCTGTTAGTGATACGAAAATATTTCTAAATTTCCTCATGGAATTTTTAAATAACGGAAAAGTCCGTTTTAAATTTATAAGTTCTTTATCGAAGAGCTAATACATAACAATATGTAATTATAAAATTGGCTTTATTATTTTTTACTTATTTAGTTGAGATACATATGATCAACTAGAGAAAGTATTTTTTAAGGTTTGGCGTAGAAAATAATGAAGGAAACAGAAATGAAACACAGACCAAGAAAGGTAACAAATAAAAAGCGATGTTTGAACAACATAATGTTATACAATCACCTGATTGCTGCTCTGATCACATGATTGTTGCGCCACTCCTTATTGCGTATTATATTACTATGCCAAAAGGATTTTGTACGACCAATTGGGCATGTAATAATTTTCATTCCAAAGCTCGTTACAGTAGCCATACAGTAGTACCTCTTTTTGAGCCTTCGTATGCTTTCTTCTTTTCTGGATCTTGATAACCAATCCGGATTTTTTGTTTATTTTTTTTTTTGAACCTGCCAATCTGTCAATCTATGAACCAATTTTTTCTTGCTCTTGCAGATTAACAGATGCTGATTCAGGTGACCGATTTCTTGGATTCCCTCTAATAATTTCACTCTTAAAACAAATAATACACTATTGCTGATTGCATTCACGATTCCTTTAGCTCACTCTTCAGTAGTAGCCGGTTTCGCAAGATATATGTTATAACCCACAAAGCAAGTATAATCGGATGCTTTGACCATTTTTTTTAATAGCTTTGGTTTTATTTTTTAGCCTTTCTTCGATTAAAGGTCTCAGAAAAATTAGCTAAAAGTTTGTGTAAAAAAATTTGGGGTCAAAAATTTTTTACTTCCAAAATCTTTGATTGAGGCAGTCCACTTTTGTCACTTTTTTTGACCAGATTTGATACCTTTTGAAGCATGCGGTTTTGGAGGCAACCAGCATAGCAAAATTGGTGCCACAAAAACAGACTAGAAATACTATATCCAATAGTTTTAATCCTGACGTTCTAGCTGACTAATAATAATTTCATTACGTGAAATTTTTTGACCTTCTATAGCAGTCCGAAACTGCCTTCCTAATGGGTGAAAAATTTTGGTATAAAAGGAAATATTTGGATTATGGCCAGAACATTGTATATTATAATGTATTTCTTTTAAGGTTACAGTCCTTTTTTGAAAGCAACCCGTATAGCATAAAATTATGGTGTATAGGAAGCGTCTGGATCGTGGGTTGCAGGGCCGATTTTGAGGGCAACCAGCATATTGACCTCCTCGAAGTGTCCGTTCCCTGCTTCTCTATCATTGATGAATTAGGAACAAGAACTCACAAAAGGTCATGAAAAAACGGATTTAAAATAGTTTCAACCTGCATGGTAGATGGAACCAAACCTTCTTTCCGTATAATCTTCAAGCACAAAAAATTTTTAAAAGGAAATTTTCCACCAAAAGTTATTTTTTTGAAATTTCCAGATTTTTGTAATGTTTGGATGAGCGAAAGTGAAATATTGTATTGGATTGAGAATAAGCATGCAAGACTTTCCGATCCACAATCATTGCTATACATTGTTTGATTTTGTAAACGGCGTTTTGGTATAAAATACTGTTATTCCTGAAGGATTAACATCTCATTTACAACTTCTGAACGTTTAATAAGAAAATCGTTCAAAGCAAAGATAAATTTATTAATGAATTATTATTATTATTATTATTTTTAATATGCATAATTTTAACCATATTTACTTTTTATAAATGCGAAAAAATGGACGTCTGAATCTGTGAGAGAGGTAGCATTTGCTGGTAGGATTTATGAAACTATTGTGGATTTGGGCTAATAGATTATGGAACGTGGTCGATAGTAGTTTAATCCAACGATCTTTCAAATGCTATGGCGTTTCTAATAAGCGTGATGAGACAGATGATTGGATTTTTGATTATAAACGTCTTGAACAAGTGTAATCAAAGTGACGAAGCAGACTTTTGGATGATAATAGTAACGACATTAATGATAAAGATATTGAAATAATAATAATGAGAAAGAAGAAGATTATGATAATGAATGGGATAATTAGAAAAATATATTAATCCATTGTACAGTAAATACAAATATGAATCATAAAAAAATTAATATAATATGCAGAAGTTCAAAATTAATAAAATTACGGTTTGGCCGGATAATTTAATTTGAACGGGTATTTCCATAACAAATTTAATTTGCTTGATTAGTTACAATCAAGAATTATAATTACTATTGGGTATTAACGACAGCGCTATACGACAGTTTAAGTTTATATTTTAACGAATAACGATGGCTCAATTAGAGCTAGATCTTGATTCATCATTTGGAAAGTTCCTTATTTTAATTTGTTGTGAATAAACTAAGTAAAACATTGTTGCTATTATTCAATTTTTGACGAACATAATGAACTTTATTTTTCATTCTACATTTGATTTCTTACCGCCGGTTCTATGATATTTATTTAGCTGATTGCTACAGATACATGATTATAAGGATTATTTATATCGATTCTGCCAAAATCGAATTAATCAAAATCCAATTAAACTCGATTATCGAATAAAAAATCGAAACTATAATGCCGGCCCGAATTACGAATTTATAAATCACGTGACATCGGATCTACACTAAAGTCTTAATTCCGGCCGGAATTATAAGCTTGGCCGGAGTTATCGCCGATCACTGATTATTCGTGCAATAAACGTTTATTTTAAATGCAAAAGCATAAGATTTAATAATCAAATGGATTGTTTATATGTTAAATTTGTGATCATTGGAAATTTTTCTGCCATAAATTTAATAATACACAATCGATTAGAAATTAGAAACTACTGATCGAAATCGAAAATTGAATTTTTGAATCGAAATTTGAGAAACGATTAATCGCGATTAGTCGATTCTAAAATCAATTCTAATTATGGAAATCGATTCCAATCCCACCGGATTATTTTAAAATCGTGCTTTCCAATTTCCTTTCGATTCTTATCTATAATTTGTTTACAACAGTTCATCTTATGTTTGGTAGTGACATTTGCTTGCCCAATGATGAAAAGTCCATCCAATAATGTTTATTATGTGACTTTCTTAATAAAATAATCTATTTTTTTTTTGTCAATAATTTTTGGTAATAAATAAGTTAATAAATATACTAGAATCAAGTTTTTGAGCATGATTACTCGATCAAAATAATTCAAAATTGAAAAAAAGGAAAATAATCATAACAAATATGCATGAATTCTTTCGTAATTTTGTTCTTAGACTCGGATTACAGTATAATGACATTAAAAATATATAAACAAATTTATTTTAATTTTTATTTATTAATTAATTCTTTAAATTGAAAAGAAAACATTAGATAAAATAAAATTAGTATTTAATTATAATGAACGTGAAATTGTTTTTTCTTTGTAATCCATGTATAAATGAAAAAAGGCTTAAAATTACAAATATCGATATTCACGATGTATTTTCGTTCTTAGACTCGAGTTATAATATTATATTCGTCCGCATCATTTAAAATAAAGGAAATGAGATTAAATCAAGTTATTTAAAATAAAAATGAATGAGACGCAAGTTAACAAAGTAAACAATAAAATGATTTGCTTAAATACACAAATGAATTTATTGTAAATCTAACTAATAAATAAACAGTATTAATTTAATTATGATCTCACTAAAATATATCAATAAAACTAATGTTTTATTATAACGAAGGTCTCAATTTCTTCAATATTATAAACTTCATTTGTATTTAAATTATTTTCGTAATTACGGTCACTATTGTGAGCTTTTAACCATTGATAATCGTTTATATACAATGAATTAAAGCCAAAATCAAATCCAGTGCCATGATAATCGTAAATAGCTTTATCATAATTTATCACACGACTTATTTTCATATTTTGAGTATCTTCATCGTTTTCAAATGAAAAAATAAAGTTATCTGATGAATAATAAAATGGTAGATTATTATAATCAATACGTAAAAGACTATCCCCAATTTTGTTAAACCCAATAGAACTGTACCCTCCAAAGATTTTATTTGTTTGTTTAACTTTAATTAAAACCAAACTTTCTACTTGACCTTTACATTTATTTTTAAATGATTCAGTACTAATACCATCAATACTACCACGATAAATAAGATTGAAGTCATAACGTGAAATCCAGAAATCTTCTTTATTAATCCATTTAAGAATTATTTTTGCGAGTTTTGGTTTGATAATCTTTGAATCAAATTTTCCTATTCTAGGTGGTAATGTTGTTAGTTTTGGATAGGTGCCTTTATTATAAAATTCTTTAATCTCTTCATAAATTTGTTTAGGAATGATATCTTTGTATGGTTTGATTTTATTGTTATAATCATCAAAAGTAATATCCACAAATCGAATGAGAGGAATAAATTGATACAACGTTTCATATAATGCTTCATAGTCCCCTTTATTCCATTTGTTTCTGTCACTATTTTCGCTTTCTAAACCAGGAGTTTGTTCAATACCCCATCTAATTAAATGATCCCAAGCAACGATTTCTTTAATCAATAGGTTTTCTCGTTCAAGTAGGTCATAAAAAATATGTTTGTCTAATGAGAGAAAATTATCTGAAGTAATCAATAGCTCTGAGTTAAGGCAAATTATTTCAAAACAATAATCTTGTAAAATCATACAACTTGTAAGTTTACATGCAGTATTAAGAACAAGAACAAGATTTTTTTGAACCCAATTTCGTTGATATTCAATCAAATAATTTCGTAAATATTCAACTAATTCTTCAAGGAGTAGCTCATCAGATGCGATTAAAAGTTTAAGAATATCTTCACCCGGTTGTTCTATCAAATCCAGTTCACCTGTGTAAATATATCTTATCATAAATATATATATAGGAATAAATTTATTTAATATTTTTCAATAAATAGTAAATTTAATTTAAGTTACTAAATAAATAAAAAATTATTTTTTTTTTACCTTAAAATCATGTCAAAAATATTTGGAGTAATATTTGGCTTATTAAAGATGATCGTATCATTTTTCTTTGTAATCCAAGTGGATGAAAGAGCACCTTTAAAATAAGGAGAACGAGCACGCAAAATTACTGAATGCGCATGAAATTCTTTTGTATTTTCATTTTCTCCAACTTTAATAATAACATTATAATCATCAGCATCGCTTAAGATTAAGGAAAAGTCTTTCGAAAGATTAGAATAGAAAAATGAAGTCATTTTAAAAAATGAAAACAAAAATAAAAGGTACAAGAAGCACAAGCTATCAATGACAACTTTTTTTATACAAATTAAGTTCATTATAAAGTTTAACTAGGAAATAAACATTGATGATCAATAATGGCTTCAATTCATGCGCCAATTATTATATATAAATTTAAAAAATAATAAAAATACCATTTTAGTAAAGTTGCATTTCGATGATTGCTCATTAATTTTAACGTAAAATTTGTAGTGTTTTGTAGGTACGATTTATTGTGCCATATTCCCGCACTGCATTAACAATATGGTATGGTGGTACTAATTGTACTGTACAACTTTTTCAGTATCAGTATTTACAATCGGCATGAATAATTCTATCCGATTTGTAATCAATTTCCTAAAATATTTGAAAAAAAAATTTAAATAACATGTAATATTTGTATAAAAAAAAAATTTTCCTCGATTATCTAAATTCTTCAATAGATATAACTCTTTTTTTCATTTGGTTAAGCCATTTTTTTTTTAGATAAAACATGCCAGATTGAATGTTAGGATTGCATACTGACAATAGGGTTATTCTGCATTAAAAATTATTTCTGGATTTCTTACCGAGTAATTAAAGTAAATATCCAAGTTTTATATTTGTATAAGTTTTGAATAATACAAAAGATGATAGATGACCAATCCTTGAAAAAAACGTCAACATGCATTCGTTGGAGTTTCCGAACGTAATTTTATAAAATAAATAATATAAAATTATTTTGATCTAGTTAAAATCAAGTAAAAATTGATCATAATATCAGATATTCTCTGCGAGAAATGAGCTAGAGGTTATAGAGGTTTCAAACTGCGTATCCTAAGCGACAATGCACAGACATCACGTCACGAATTGTTGATCTCTAATTTTATTTTATTGATTTTTCTTTTTTGTGTGTATAAAAATTTTAAAATTGTGTATGACGTGTTTCACATATATTGTACCATTAAAAATTAGTTAATTCTAAAAGTTATTAATATATTTTTATAATAACGACACAAAAATGGGTCTTTTGATCTTTATTTTTTGTATTTTTTGAGATTTGGCGATCCTATTGTTTTCTCTTTGTAGCTAGTGAATTTTTTTAGGCGCCTAGAACATACTTATAGAATCTCCTAACCCTTTGCTGTTAAAATCCCAAAAGGGTAATCGCGATTTAAAAATTCCGGCCCGCATTAGAATTCCTTTTGGCCTGCATTATCATGATTTTGCAGAATCCAAAAAGGAATAGCTGATTAAGTTATATTTGTTATATTCGTAATTTCAATAATACGATTTATATAATTTAAGTAATAAATTATGCTATACGGAACAAATCTTCCTTATCCCCCTTTCCTTATTAGTTGTTCATGTTTATTATGCTGGAAAAAGGGTGTGTTTTGACATTTGGTGGATGTATATAATTTCGCGATGTAACGTATACCGATACTTTTTCTCGGACCCTTTATAGTAACATATATTACAGCTGACACATGACAAATTTGATGCCGAGAATTTTGTCGGTTGTCGGGTTGTCGGTGTACGCGCACATTATAAAATAAGCTTTTTTTATATAACTATAATAATTATATATAGTATATTAACTTTATTTTATCAATATCAATAGTTTTTTAGAGCATCAATAATGACTCATCCCTTGACATTTCATTTGAAAATTTGCTCCATTTGTCTTATTTGCTTAGATTGTAAAAATCTATATGTCCAACTGTACTTGCCAGTCAAGAGAAATTGAATGGAAGAAGAAAAAAATTGAACGTGACTATACAGTAGATTTTTGCCATAAGCCACTTACACAAAAAGGTGCCACAAAACAAAAGGTTGCATTGGAAATAGAATTTCTCAACTGGTTTTTTGTCAATGCTTCTCCACATATCGAACTTTCACCAACCCCAAGTAATGTTAATATATGCAAAAATTGTATGAACAGATATCGCAGAAAAAATTATTACTCAATTTATTTAAAATTTATATATTCAATAAAGCCATTAAAGACAAACAGCTTACTCAAAATGAAACCGCAAAAACTACAAATTTGATCAATTTGGAAGATAATGTTAGGAGTAATAGATATCACGTGCTTATTTAATTGACCGACAAAATTCTCAGCATCAAATTTGTCATACATTATGAAATCAGCTGTAAGATGTACCGATATTTTAGCTACACTAATTCGGCCAGCACTATAAAGTTGGCTCAAGTAAAAAGATTTAATTTGAACTCTTGCGGTTTATTTTGCCGAAATTTGATTACTGGCCCATTAATTGGTTGCATCTGCTCCGCATTATGAGTTACTCATAATATATTCAATGTACCGATACTTTTTCCCTTCAACAACCTCATCAGTACATACAGGTTTGCTTGTAAGCAATTTTTGCAGTATATTTGTGATAAACTGTAAATGAGTATTCATTTTCACAATTACATTCAATCTCATTTATATATTAAAAGGGATGAAAAAAAAATTTGAATAGGGCTAGATATTAATCTTGGTGTCGGTTCAAAAGAATTTTGTTATTCATAATTTCCATAAAATAAAAATTTAACATACGAAGAAATTTATTATATATTCGTCAAAATTCTATAAATAGAAATTTTCTTGAAATTTTAGAATAGAATTCTATGGAAATGTAACGAAATAAAATTGGAAATATGGCATAAAGTTTAAATCACATGTATCTGAGAATATTAAAAAAAAAAATAACTAATTTTAATACATATTTAGACATTAATGGTGGAAATGAAAAACGTTTGCATATACGAAACATTAACGCTCGAGGGTTCATAGTTTAAACAAATAGTCACTAATAAATCATTTCATATTAATTATACATATTTTAAATTACTGTAAATTATGTTGTAATGGATGAAATGGTATGTATTATTTGTTCAGTTATTATTTAATCTCTTTCACATGGATAGAATTGACTTTTACTGCTGTTCCAATCATTTATTTACCATGGTGGGGATACTCGTAATCAATGTATAACTTGTGATTCAAAACTAGAATTTAAATCAAATTGCCAAAAATGGTGCACAAATTGCTTTATAATTTACACTGTGTTAGATACTGTTTAACACCAATTATTGTTTTTGGAATTACAGAAAAATCTCATGTAATAAGAATTTCATTAATTACTATTAATATGACTAATATGAAAAATGATGGAGAATACTTTTTAAAACTCAACACTCATAACTATAATCAAATGGCTATTATGTGCATAATATAGATAAATATTCTAATCTATTAGAGATTTATAGTTTTATAAAGAACGCTTAATTATATTCCTTTAAATGTTTTTTATTCTCATATTGCAAATTTAGTAGAAATCAATGAAAATTCTTTAAATTCAATTATATCAATTATGTTTATCCCTTTTAATATCGATGTTATTGTAAGGAAATTTATCATGAAACAACTTTATTCAAAAAGGTTTTGCAAGAATTGTTTTACAATTGTATATTAAATATTCAATTAGTAATAGTATGGATATTAGCTAAAGTATCCCTAGTTATTATTTACAGTATAAATATAAATTAACTGAGAATTTTTTTAGTCCTAACAAGATTATTCTTTCAACTTGTTTTAAAAATTCAATGGAATAATCTGTCATGATTTTATAATGTTTGTGACTAGGGATGCCAACGGCCAGTTCGGTTCAGTTTCGGTTTTAAAACTGCAGTTTTCAACCAAAACCGAACCGACCGCAAAACCGACCGATAAAACTGAACTACAAAACCGATTGCAAAAATACTGCAAACCCGAATAAAATAATGCCACAAAGTATCAACTATAATTTTTTGGATAACATTCTTAATTTTTTTACGAAATAACGCCGATGTTGCGATTTACGAAAAATCACGTGATCAACGCGTAAATTCGATAATTTCAAAAATGAGAACACTAACCATAAAAATAGTTTTAATGGTATTCTCAATAAACAAAATCATTTTTTCCCCGAATATATTAAAAATTTACAATTTTTTTATATATAAAACTGACGGTGGTATCGGTTATAACCGAACTTTTGGCATCCCTATTTATGACATTAAATTTACAATCAATATACGGTAGTAAATACATTTAATAATTTGAATAAATTTATTAAAATTATTTAAATTACAAACTAAGAATTTTGTAAAACATTTACTATTCTAGTCTTAGTGTTTAAATAATTCATGATAAAAAAATAAAAAAATAAATAAATGATAATAATTTAAAATATAAAAAAAAAAATTGTTAAATGATTATTTAAAATCCATCTAAAGTTAAAAAATAGCAATTATAAATTAATTATTTGGTTTAAAAAGAAATCTTATTTATTTAAGAACTTACCATCAGAAATTTCCAGTTCATCTTGTTCTTTTGAATGAAGACTTGGATTATTATATACTTCGTCATCATCTTCTATAAGGAGAAAAAAATAATAAAATTAAAATAGTACAAAAATTGTTTGTTATTACATAAAATTTCCACCTACCATTGACATGTTGTTGAGTTATTTCTCTTTCATCATCTAAATTTTAAATAAAAGTCACGTTAAATAATAAATTGGAAAAAATAATGATTTTATTTGTTAGTAATTTACTTACCATTTGAATTTATTTGTAACTTTATAAATTCTTCGGGTAATTTTTCACTATCACCTAAAATTAAGATATAGATTTAATATATATATAAATCAATCTCGTTTTGACAATACTTAAAATATATTACCTCTAAAAATGGTAATTACTTTTGATGATTTGCTACTATTCTGCTCATTTGATTTATTCAAGTCGTTAACTAAAATAAAAATTAATTATTAAACATCATTATGTAATAATTCAACGCTGTAATGTTAATAATTACTTACTATTGTTAGGAATGTTAAAATCATACAATTTACTATGAAACCCTATTAGTAGTAAAATAAAGTATTTTAAAAACTAAATTATTATAGCCACCAAAAAATGGTAGAAATTATTATTTATACGGCTATACCTTCTTGTTGTTCTATTATAATATAAATTCAAAAAAGATATTATTAATGTATTTTAAAATAAATACATTCATTAATAAAATATTATGATCTTATACCTTCTGTTGCATTTCTTGGTTCAGGTAGATTTGCAAAGTTGTGAATTTTACTTGTAAATAATCTGCTACTTGTATAATTTTCTTCTACTTTATTCATTTCTAAATTATCCATTTCTGATTTGAATAATTCATCTGACATATTTTGATAATGTAAGTTAATATTGTTTATTTTGTTCCAAAGTGTAAGTATATTAGGTCTTTTTAATGGATCAGCATCCCAACATTCTTTCATTAAATTTTTATATTCTAATGGAGTTCCTGGCACAATTTTTGGTCTTATACCGTTAATAATATTCATTACAATATCATTTTCATGTTCATAATTTATAAATGGTGTTTGTCCAGATGAAATTTCCCACATAAGAATTGCAATACTATAAATATCTGATGCAAAAGTATATTCTCTTCCAACAATAACTTCGGGTGCTATGTAAGGAAGATTTCCATATATACTTGTTGAAGATTTATCAGCAGGTCCACAAAATCCAAGATCACTAATATACCAGTAATCATTTGTTTGTGAATATAATATATTCCCAGAATGTAAATCTCTATGATTTGCTTTCTCTTTATGAATATAATAAAGTGCAACAATTATTTCATAAATAATATTAATTCTCTTTTTCCATGTAAGTTGATTATGATTTTGTTGTAAATATTTTCTTAAATCTATATCAAATTTCTCCATTACAAGCATATAATTTCCATTTGATGGATTTTGCGTTAAACCAAAACATTGAACAACAACAGCACATTTATTACTTATAGTTAAATGTGATTTAGCCTAAAAGGCAATAATTTGTAAAAATTCTCATATTAATACAAAGCCTGCATAATTTTATACAATAAATTTAGAATTTAATTATACAAACCTCTTCAAACCAACTTTGATTTGCACTTTCAACATTTTCTAATTTTTTAAGCACTATATTATGATTTCTGAGTCTCGTTAATTGTTTTTTTTCGGAATCCCATTCATCACATGGTCCGTCAATCCAATATGCTGTATAAATTTCTGAGAATCCACCTTTTGTTAAATATTTAATATTTTCTAAATTACTATATGGGATCCATTCAACTACCTTATTTGGCATAAGTGATTCCATTTGACATTTCTGTATTAAATTATCAATATCATCATTCCCGGATGTCCAATTTGGAAAATTTTCTTTTAAATAATTTCGAATACAATATTCACAATATAATGTGGCTAAACATTCTTGGTTACAATTTTCACAAATTCTTTTTGTACCATCATTTTCCATAACTTTATTTCGATCATAATTTTTAGTTAAAAATCTTATTGCATAAGTTTTTTCATCATTTGTAAGAATTTTATCAGTAAGGACTATTTGTCGTTGGTATTCAAATTGTTTGTGTATATTATTGTAAATATTAGTATCTGTTAATGTTGCTATTCTATTAATTGTTGCACCAATTAATTTATATCGAAGAGTGGACATAATGTAATCAATAAGTTCGTTACTCCGAGATAAATTAGTAAAATACAAATTGTTGATCAAAACTTCATGTTGTGCCACATGACATAAATTTTGTGACCTTGAGGCGTAATATTTTACGCCTCATAACCAAAAAAAGAAAAATATTTAACAAATTTGATTGTCATACTTTAATGAATAGATAGTATCCTTATTAATATTCAAATAATTTTATAAAAAAATTATTATTATTTTTAAATCTTATTTAAAAAAATCAATAAAGACATGATTGATGAAAAGGCAATTTAGTTATTTTCAATTGAATTTATTTTAAATAAACAACGTGGCGAATAATGAACATGAAAGATTATAAGAAACCATCCAATTTATTATTTCCGTCTAAAAAAAGTCATATCTAAGAGAAGAATTTCTGTAGAATTATTATTATTAATTTTTTTTTAAGATGTAATGATTGATCGTAAATATAGGGTTAAATAAAAATATATGGTTTAATAAGTTTGAATGAAAGAAATTATTACGTAACGTCGTAACGATTTAGTGTAATAATAAATAAGGAATATATCAGGCGCAAATTATTTATATGGAGACTATTCTAAATGGCAGACAAATTTTTTTAGTTAGATTGGGATATTTTGGCTACTAGTTCAAGTGGAAATCATTTTCATAAACTCGAAGAAATAACAAAACTTCCAATAATTTTAGATTTAGAATGAAATCATCGTCAATTAGATAACTATGAAAATTTTACTTTGACGAAAAAAAAAATCTCAAAAATATTTATGTGCGTATTAAAAGTAAATAAATAAATTGATAATCATAATTACTATGATGACTTATATAATAAACGAAAATAATCAATTCAGTTAATAAAATCTAATATGTTCTGTAATAATTACCGTTTACTTTTTATTTTATTTTTATTTTGAATTATTTAGAAAAAAGAAAGTAAAAAAAAATTTAAACATTTCTCAGTAAATTAATAAGTTTTTTTTTTCGTTTCTGGATTTTTTTATTTTTTTTTTATAAATCAATTATCTCAAGAATAATATAAAGGTTTTTAGCGTTATGCAAAAAAAAGTAAAGATTTAAAAGAAAGATGAAAATCTTGGATAAATAATGAATGATTATAAGAAATATATAATGGTTTATTCATTTTCTTGTAAAAAAAAATAGATTTTATTTATTATTAAAAAATATTTAATAACGTTCATACAGAATATGTTTTTTTATGAAAAAACCAATAAAATATACTGTATATAATTGTTCATTGTAAAAAAATTACTAAATACAATTATAAATTTAGTACAAATTTTTTTTTTTTTGTAGAAAAAACCAATAGATAAGATCTCCCTTTTTTTTTAAAAAAAAAAAAATTTTAAAAAAATATAATAATAAATCTTTTTTCTTTGTTGAATAAATAATAATAAATAAACACAATGCCAGCAAAACTCGCCCTAATTGTGTAATTCATTCAGTTTCCGAATGAGATATCATAGCAATAATTTTGTAAGAATTCTTCAGTTCCAAAATGGATTCTAGATTTTACGTCTGGGATGTACTCAGATTTACGGGAAAAAAAATTTGATCTTAGTGAAGAACCTCTTCATGATGATATTTTGGAGGTAACTCATAAACTTTCAATTAATTGTTTAAAAAAAAAGTATTATCATCTAATAAAAAATAAAATAATTCTGTTTAGAAATTATTATTTATCGCGGATGTGATTTGTAGCTAGTCCCGTTTGTCGCATGATTTATGTAGTAGTCATGAGATTTATACTTTTTGATCTCTAGAGTGGTGTTGGTCTGGAGTAGCTTAAGGTTAGGTTAGGATTATACTTATTATTGAAATTATAAATGTAACAAATATAACTTATCTGAAAAATCAACTATTCCTTCGTGCCAAAGATCATGATAATGCAGGCCAAAAAGGGATTCTAATGCGGGCCGGAATTTTTTAAATCGCGATTACCCTTTTGCATAAGTATGTTCTAGGCGTCTAAAAAAAATTTCACTAGCTACAAAAAGAGAACAATAGGATGGTACAATATATACGAAACACGTCATACACAATTTTAAAATTTTCGCACACACAAAATAAGAAAAATCAGGAGGATTTTAAAAAAAAGAAAAATATTTTTTTTACTTGATTTTATTAATTTTAACTAGATCAAAATAATAAATATATTATTTATTTTACAATATATATTACGTTCGGAAACTCAAACGAATGCATGTTGGCGATTTTCAAGGATTGGTCATTTGTTAAATAATTTTTTTTTTTTTAAAAAAAAAAAAATTATCGCCAATGGTCATATATGAACAAATTTAGATGATTTTTTTTTTATCTTTCAAAAAAAAAAACAATTAATATTTATTTTAAAAAAAAAAAGAATTTTAGAAGCTATCATATCATCTATATCAAGTTCTTCGAACTATTTGACTCTTGTCGTTTATCCATTAGGAGAATATCTCCTAAGACCTCTAGTAAATAAGATCTTCGGTCTTATGATGACGGTTGACATATATAATAAATGATTGTTATCGATAACATAGATCATGTATCGTAGAGACCACTATTCTTTAGGAACGAAGTTACTAATCTCTCCAGTGACCGTCTTGCCGCTTAACCACGCTTTTTTATTCATTCTTTGACCGTTCATATACAAATCTATAGTTTTACTAAGCAAAAAATGTATATAAAAAAATCATGATGATTTTCAGAGGAACGAGAAGAATTATGAAGGATGGAATCTAGTATCATTTGACGAGATGTATGCAAAAAAAATCCCCACTTCCTTTGGAAGGTCCATTTCATGGACTGATTTTCTGAGGAACGAAGAAAATCATGGAAGACCGAAGCTCTTATGATAAGGGTTGACACGTTTAGTATAAAAAATAAGTGATTTTTTTAAATAAAAATCAATGCATGAATTTTATTTAATTTTTTTTATACATATTAGCAATTATTTATCCAGAAAGTACATCTGTAAATCTAACATCTATAAAACGTGTCTGATTCACATTTAGATAAATGACTTTAGATCGTAGAAATTGGGGAACTTACATGAAGCTATCTGAGCTGGTGTCACACAAGAAATATCGCCTTTTTTCTTTGGCTCAAATCGTAAGAGCAGTTGGGGTTAAAGTTATTTGTCGACAGGGTCCTCTTCTGATGATGATTCGTCGGTGAGACATAATTCAAATTCTTCGTAGTCAGAAACATTGTCGTCCTCTTCAGATAGATTCTCTTCCTGTAATGATTCTTCGTCAGAACCTACTTCTTGGTATGTTCTTCTTAAAAAGTTTGCCAGGTGCTCCAAAGGGGTGATATTTTCCTCTGTAAAAAATAAATTATTAAAAAAGTATAATCTAGTAAAGCAATATTAAATTTAATACTTACTTCTTGACATAGAAATGTGCGATTTGAACCAAATTTCGTTCCGAAAATCTATTATGTAATATATAGTAACCTTTAATACAGATAAATAACTATATTCAAAAATAATAATAAACAAACCTCTTCCGTCTTTATTGAGCTCTGCCCACTGTTCTTCTAATCCTTCAAAACAAGGTGGAATTTCGGGAGTTGTCAAAATATTGTTCGATGGAGTGTCTTCTGAAGTATTGTTTGAGGTCGAGGTATTACTAAAGAACCTGTAAATAAAAAAGTTGGTATATCAGATGGTATAATATGCTTTGGCTTATATATCTAATAATACCTGAGAAGTAGTAAATAAAAAATAACCAATGAAAAAATGATAAAAGGAAGAAAAGGAAGAACGGTAATGCAGCAGAGATTCATTTTTTTTTTTGATGAGATGAGCGTCTTGATAAAAAATTGTGTGACAGGACCATTTATATATGACGCGCTAGGCACGTGATAAGTCACGTCAACGTTACAGTCGTGACAACTGACAACGGTGACATCGTTGATAATCACGTTGAAAGATCGTGGTCGTTAATACTAGCACGTAGAATATGCGAAAAAAAACCAACGAATTAATATTAAGATTATATAGGGTATTGAAACTTTCAATTTTGGAAAAAAATTTCTGGAAAAAATTCTTCGTCCCCCGCAGCGATGGTGCAAAGTCACGTAAATTTGAAGAGACGTCAAACAAAAAGGAGATTGAAACAACAGACAAAGAACAATAATATCAAAGCTTAATGATGAAATAGAAAAATATAAACGGACGATAACAGATTTGGAAAATCGTGTTAGAGAATTAGAAGTGGATGTAACGGTGAAAGAACGAATAAAATTAGAGAAGAAAGAAGAAGTGAAATAGTTAAAGAGCTAGAGCAGAAGAAGAACCAAGACACAAGTTCACAGAACAAAAATATTCAAGGAAATTCGTGTCAAACAAAGAAAAAATTCTCTAAGCAAAAGACAAAAAATATCCAAATGGAAAGATCACATCCGATGAGAAATTTCTGGATAATAATTTTGCCGAGAAATCACATGATATGACATTTTACGATTTTCCGTGGTTCTTGAAAGATGAAGATATATACGAAATATACGAACATTTAAAGAAAAACATAAGATACGTCGAACAACTAAGAATTGAAAAATGCTATAATATAAGATGGTTAAGGCTAAACTTCGTTATACCAAAGCTTACGAAGATATATATAAACGAGGTGGCAATAACAATAAATGGCCGTAATTACTTCTTCAGAATGTTTGACACGAGAAATAAAAGACAAATTTAGCTGGCAAGCGTTCAAGAAATTAGAAATACGAAGGAAGAAACTGACGGTACAATAATCAAAGATCAGATAGATAAAATAAATTAGAATATATTTGATTTTGTTAATCCTAATTATTTTTCCGAAAACCCGCCATATTTAACAACAAAAACGATATGATGCAAGCCATATAAAAGTCAGCAATGGAAGAAGACTTAGGAAAGTACATCAAGTAAAGAAACGAGACGATTTGATAGATAAAGACGGGAACTTTAAACAACGGAGAATTCAAAAAACTATGTCGATGCCAGACACGAATAACAATAATTCTTCGGGTCAAGAACAATCTTTAGAAGCTTCGGTAAGGATAGAGAATTCACCGGGTAATGGAAAAGACAAGGTGGAAGAATTTAACAAAATATTCAGTGATCGAGTTAAAAGAGTTAACGAAAAGGCAGAAGGATCCACAGGTAAAAGAAATTCAAAGAAAAAAGAAAGTGTATTTATGTATGGAAGTAAACGTATTGTACCGCAGAAAAGGGAAAAAAACTTTAGAGACGGAAGTTTTGCCAGATAAAAGAAACGTATTGCAACCGAGCAGGGTGAGATGACAGTGATTAAACATCAGACGGACATTTTTAATCTATTAATTCTATCTAGTATCCCCGAAAAAAAACTTAGCTAGTGTAATTATGTTACGAATGACGATACGAATCTTTTGCATAGAATTGGTATAGATGGACGCAAATTCTCTTTTATATAATATAATATTTATTTTGTTATTTACTTATTGCTTATTCCTTGAAGTATTATTTTAATTTATCATGATTAACAGATTAAATTGGTATTTGATGTATTTGATGTTAAAAAAATTCTTTCTATAAACAATAATCCGTTCTAATTTCACCATACATCGGTTTCAGAGTCCAATTATGATTCAATAATTAGTAAATCAGTTGTTGATACACTATAATTGCACTTCCTTCTACTGTGAATATATAAAATAATATTTTTGATTGTCATTATTTTATAATTTTTCAATAAACTTTGTCATCTGACTTCTTGATTTTTATTAGCCAATAATGAGGCTATTTTAAATAATTTAAGTGCAAATGAAATTAATGTAATTGAAAAATCGAAACATTTATTGTAATAAATTTAATAATTACGTCAGGAGTCATAAATCCAAACATCAGGTTTCCTGTAAGGGTGGCTACCGACCGGGTTGCAACCATAGTTGTGATCTAATTTCAACGGTTGTAAACCGATATTTGATATATGGGTTACATAAAGTAGTAAGGTTGCAATATTTACGACATATGGAGTTGTAAATGGTTGTAATCCAAAATGTTGTAATTATTACTTACGGCAACCAACACTAATTTCCTGTATACAATTTTAGCTATTTATAGACTCTGAACAATCTTTTAACTAATCATCATTTGTATCAAAAAAAAAATCATGGGGAAACTACGTGTTTGAGTTTGAGGGTATTGAATTTATTTACTTCAATTTAAAGAAATTATTAGTAATTTTTGAATTATATTGATATATTGAATACTAAACTACTCCAGCACTAAATATCTCAACTATTTGTAAGAGATTTTAATTTTATTTTAATATTTAGGACTTTACTTGATACATGATTTTTTATTTTGTAGATTTTGCTTCTAGTTATTAATGTAAATTTATATTAATTAATAAGCTATTATTTGCTGCAATTTAGTAATTTGACTATTTTTTATATATTATGTATTTTAGAACTAGTGAAATGCATTTATAAATACATTAAATATAAAAAAGAGAGAGATATATATTTTATTGTGTTAATGATCATAACCTGGGTCTTGATGATGATTTGGAGATAATTAAATGATCGATAATAATCTGATATAAAGAAAAAAGGAGATGTTAACCTATGATCACTCAGATAAATGAGTTATTGAATTACTAGGCTGATATCCACGCTTACTCAGGCACATATACCAGATTTCATCTGAACTCACAAAGAATCCCGACAAATATAAGTATATTTGGAAAACCTTAGACATATATATGTGTGAGCAGACCCATGAACTAAATCGTAAAAAAGCCTTCATTGCAATTAAAGCTCAACCTCCAAATTTGAACACAATAACTCACCAATTATCTAAATAAATTCCTGGTGATAAAATAAATTCCTGTTGATAATTTTCAAGAATAAAACAGTGTCAACCTGATTGCAATAACGATTAGTATATAACAAAATGACAAATTTCAACAATTATATAAAAATATTAATTGATATATTTGTTTTAGGTCTAAATCACTCCTATTTATATTAAATTTCTACAACTATTCTACAAATGTTTACTCTACCTTTTCAATAAAATAACTCATGATGAGTATAATTATTAATATGAACAATATGAACAATTGCAAACCCTGATTATTTACATCAGAATCAAGATGAGTCTTAGTTACTAATTTCCACAATGAAATGGTTTGTTATGAGTCACAATAACTATATTGTATCGAAATTTCTGAATATATTTTAACGTGTTTGCTGTGCCATAATATTTCATAAGACTTTCTGTGCATGTGATTTGAGCTAATAAGTATATATATTTTATAAATAAAAAATTTTTATGCATGGTAGTTACTAGTAGTTTATACATATATAGCAAATCATTAATTAGAATGAGTACAAATTTTAGATAACTACTATTAGTATACCTCTAGATAGGCGAAATGAAATAAAAAGATAGAATCTATAATTACATAATTTTTTTTAAAAAAAAAAATCCGTAATTTTTAAATCATATATATCAAATTAAAGTTCTATATTGACTCCATATAGCCAAATAGAAACTAGACTGTCAAACAGAAAAAAATGCACAGCAGTCGACTATAGTCACGGGATATTCACATGCCAGGAAGCGTTAAAGTTGCTAAATCAGAGGTTTCAGCAAAGAATTTGAGCTTATTATTAAATATTAGTAATTAGGATATTACATATCATTTTTTTTTCTTTGATACATTGTTGGTACAGTACTTAGTGACGAGCCATTATGATCTATGTCCAAAAAAAGAAATTATTGACATATTTGTATTCCCAAAACTTCCTTTTTAAAAAAGCTATGCGGTGTAAATCTTTTTCAATTTCGAAAAATCCGAAATTTCAAATTTCAAAACTTTATTATTATAAAAGGAAATTATATTCCATTATAACAATATAAGTACTGTATAATTATTATATAATTTTTTCTAAGATTATCTTAAATCACGGATAATGATTTTGCTAAATTAAATTTCATGAATGTACAGTATATCTTTTCTTATGCCATTTGGTTGGAATAATATCAAAAAATGAGATTACTATAGCTCACAAATTGACTGTTAAAAATTTATTGCGAATTTATCAGATAACTTTAAGAAAATGACGATTAGTGATAAGGATAGTTTTACGTCTATATTCTAGAACTAGTAAAGGTGGTAATAATAACAAAAAGAATAAGAAAAGTAAAAAAAAAGCAAATAGTTTGTTAAGCTAAGCATAGTTAAATGTATTTATTTATTTTTTTTTGGACTAGTCAAAAATATATTATATTAGTTAATAACAAAAATGTATGTTATTTTGGTTTGTATACTTTATTGAGGTGACGCTTAGCGTTAAAATTGTGGTCCCGTGATTTTTCGCAGGGTCACAATACTAATAAAAGGATTTTTTTTTTTTAGAAAAAAAAGAATATACGTTACATATGTAAATTTTTCTGTCAAATTTACCAGTATTAGTATTAATTAATATTAAAGAAAATATTTTGAAAGACCGGAATAAAATAATAGATAAATTATAATAGGAATGTTAAACTTAAGATGTATGTAACTTATTTTGTAAAATAATAGCTTTTATTGAAGTACTATTGATACTATTATATTCCCTTGTAAATGGATTAAGTAATCAAGAAGTATAGCGTTGATCGATTATTTCCTTTAGATATTAAAAGATTTGATAATTTATTTTACTATATTTTTCTGCTTCATCAAATTGCTTTTTAATTCTTCATTTTCATCTAAAATAAACAATCTCTATAATTCTTCTATTTCAATAACACTTGGTATGGATTTGAATCCTAACATATTTTCATCATCAGTAGTATTTTTTTGTACTTATTTTTTATATGTTATTTATTTTTTATATTTATATTTAATATATAAAATAATGGTTTCGTAACTTTTCATAACATATTTGTATAAATGACCTTTAATTAATTTTTTCTTAAAATATAGGATATATCTCAAGTTTAAGGATATGTAAACTTGATACTATTTATCTGCGCCAATACTTTATAATATACGTGTAACGTCTGGATTTTCTGCTTAAATGAGTATTTAACAAAATATAAAATAAATGCGAAATTTATTCCTTCATATATTGAAAAGACATCTAGTGTCTAAACCTTTTTTATTCATATAACCATATTAATTCATATTCGTTATTATTAATATTGTTTACTTCAATGATTCTTGTTTATTAGAATAATTAACAAACCAAAGATAGTTAGTTTGAAAACAGAATAAACTATATATCAGTTCAATGTATAGTTTCTTTGGAATTTATGTATATGAACGGTATGTTACTTGAAAAATGCGTTGTGTAACAAGTAATAATTTATTTTATTTCTGTTTGTTTCTTTTAAACACATCTGTGATTTTAATCTATTTTATATGGTTCCATTAGTGCTCCGCGAAATTCGGGTCTAACCCAGATAATTCAACCCGAGTGAATTTTAAATCGGGTCGGTATTAACAATTTTAATAACCCGTGACCCGCATGACCTGACCCGTCAGGTCGGGTCATTCATTTCCTTGACTCGGGTTTTGACCCGAATTAGACCCGGATGATAATTAAAATCACTGATCACATATTGATTACGCGTTAATATTGACTACGTTTATATAATATTGTTAGACGAATGAGGTAGTATATCCCCACTTAGCGAAAATAGCTAGAGACTACCTTGCAATTACAGGTATGTATATGAATTATTGTTATTAATTATTAACATTATATTAACTAATAAGTTGATTTTGATGGTTAATAAAGCCCATTAGAAAGAGTATTTTCCAGTGGAACCGATTTGATAGCTGCAAAAAGATGTAGTCTTTAAACACATGCATGTTCTAATTGTATCTGCTTTAAGTCCTGGCAGACGCAAAATATAGTCAAATTTCTGTTAAAGCAAGTGATTTTATAGTTCAAATATAAATAGGAATTGAAGATATTGTTAAATTCGTGCTTAGCATTAATTTTAATAAGAAAAAGTTGTGAGACCTATATGATTATCTTGTAGATCAATTGCCTTGCATTAATGAAAAAATTATATTTGAAAAAAATATTTCTGATATATTACTAAGAGTACAGTATATTATCCAATATATATATTGAAAATTACTAAAATTTCGGGTCTAACCCGGGTTATTCGAATTAAATATATTCGGGTCGGGTCAAAATCGGATCATTTCTATTTTTGCCAGGTCAAGTCGGATATATTCTCCAAACCCAACCGAATCCGACCCGGTAGGAGCACTAGGTTCCATGTGATTGTTTTTTGGCAAGAACATTTGTCCAAAGTCTTTTATCATAATTATTCTCCTATTTGGTACATGTTACAATTTAAAAAATAATACAGTAAATATCATTTTAAATAAATATATTGATAAATATTTTGAAATTTGGTTATGCTTGCACTATACATTCCATCAATTTAGTTATACAAATTCCATTACGAGTTACGACCTGCGTTCTTAATTTCCTTTTGCTATTATTCCAAATAACCTGACTCTTAATAAGTAAAAAAAAAATCACACATATTGGAAAAGCTAAGAAATTATTTAAATTTCTAAAAGAATAAATACATTAAATAATATTTAATGTTCCTGATTACTTAAATTATGACGTTAAACAATTTAAAAATTTAATTATAATTTTAAATCTTATCGTTGTGCTACCCATGACAAATTACTTAATAAAATTAGCACAATTCTGAAAAGCGCGATAAATATATTTATTTAAATTGATTATTTATTTCATTTTCATAACCTATTACCTGTTAAAATGTACGCAGTACAATTTGTGTTCAGTTACTGTTTGACAAATATTGGGCGTATTGGGCGTAACTTCCTATACAGTCACTGTCATACAATGATTATTAATCTTATTTAAAAATTTGTGTAACGTTAACGTAATTTGTTCAACATCACCTATGTTGATCACCATTAACGTTGAATAATTTTTTCTATTAAATAATCTTTATTTTTTTAAAAAAAAATTTCAGAATCATGTCATCTCAAGACAATTTTGTATGTAAATATTGTGGTAAATTATATATAATGAGATGGATTAAATGGTGCAAACAATGCCAAATAGATAATTTAAGAAATAATTTTAAAAACTGGACCAGTGGAAACGAAAAAATTGATGAATTAATTCAAGAAATGCAATTAAAAATTAATCATTTTGGAGATATAATATTTGAATGGATACCATATAATCAATTTGAAGACATCAAAGAAATAGGTAGAGATGATTCCACTGCACTATATTCAGCAATATGGATTGATGGCCCATTACAATATGATGATGATGATAAAGAATGGACAAGGGAATCTAGTGTAGGAGTTTCTTTAAAGTGTTTATATAACTCACAAAATATCACCAATGAATTTTTAAACGAGGTATGAAAATATAAATTCTTTGTAATTTAATTTTTAAAGTAGTACTTTTATTAAAATTACTTTTCATTATATAAAATGTGTAGGTTAATTCACATCCTATTAATTATAATAATATAAGCAATGATAATATTCCTAAAATATGTGGAATAACCCAAAATCCAGAAACAAAAGATTATATTCTGGTATTTAGATGTTGTTATTGTGAATACTGTGGCAAAATATATACAAATTTAAGATATAACATTTGTATATGTTATATGAAAAATGATTGTATCAGTGGAAATGAAAAAATTGATAAACTCATCCAAGAAATGCAATTAGAAAATATTGGTAAATATGCTGCATTTTTTGAATGGATACCTTATATCCAGTTTAATAGTATTAAACAAATAGGCAAAGATGATTCTACTACATTATTATATTCAGCAATATGGATGGATGGGCCATTAGAATATATATATGAAGAAAAGTCATGGGTAAGTGTGCCTAATAAGGAAGTTGTTTTAAAGTGTTTATATAATTCACAAGATATTATCAATGAATTTTTAAATGAGGTATGAAATTCTAATTTTTTTTTGTAATTCAATAATTTATTTAATTTTTAAAATATTTGTTTACTATAATAATTAAATAATATATGTTTTAACAGCATAAATTACATGATGAATATGATTTATTAGATGATATTCCAATAATATATGGAATAACTCAAAATCCAGATACAAATGATTATATTATGGTACTTCAAGATGGTTATTGCAAATACTGTGGCAAAATATATACAATTGAAAAAAATAAATGGTGTACAACATGTCAAATAAATAATTTAAAACAAAATTTTATAAGCTGGACCAGTGGAAATGAAAAAATTGATGAACTTATTCAAGAAATGCAATTGAAAATTAATGATACTAATGATGTAATAGTTGAATGGATACCTTATAACCAGTTTATTGAAATTAAAGAATTGAATAAGAATAGTTCTGGTACATTATATTCAGCAATATGGATGGATGGTCCATTAAAATATGATACTTCTAAAATAATGTGGGAAAGAGTGCCTAATAAAGAAGTTGTTTTGAAATGTCATTCACAAAATATTATCAATAAATTTTTAAATGAGGTATAAAATTTTAATTTTGTGTAACTTAATTTGAGTGCTTACAATATATAACATTTTATATATTTATGTTTTAACAGATTAAATCATATACTTTTTGTAATTATTTTAATGATGGAATATATGGAATATCCCAAGATCCAGTTATAAAAGATTATATTATAGTGTTATATATAGATAATTATTGTAAAACCTGTGGTGAGATATATATAGTAGGTAGGAGAAGATGGTGCATGTTATGTCAAGTAAATATTTTAAAAGAAAATTTTGCAAGGTGGACTAGTGGAAATGAAAAAATTGATAATTTTATTCAAGAAATGCAATTAAAAATTAATAAGTTTAATAATACAATAGTTGAATGGATACCATATAACCAGTTTAATTATATTAAAGAAATAGGAAAAGGTGGGTTTGCTACAGTATATTCAGCAATATGGATGGATGGTCCATTAAGATATGACTATAATAAAAAGGAATATAAAAGAAAGCCTAATGAAGAAGTTGCTTTAAAACGTCTAAATAATTCACAAAATATTACTGATGAATTTTTAAGTGAGGTATGAATTTTTCCTTAAATTAACTAATCTTTTACAATATAATAACTTTATTTTTACTAGGTTAAAAATTACTCTATTAACCATAATGAACATATTCTTCAAATATATGGAATATCACAAAATCCAAATACAAAAGACTATATTATAGTTCTTCAGTATGCAAATGGTGGAAATTTTGATAATTATATTAATGATATTATAAATTGGTTTTGGTTTGAAAAATTGATAGCATTAAAAAATATTATTAAAGGGCTAAAAAAAATTCATGGAAATAAAATGGTTCATCGTGATTTTCATACTGGAAATATATTAACATCATTTGATCTTGACTCTTGTTATGAACTTTCTTGCAATACTGCAAGTGATATATATATTTCAGATATGGGTTTATGTGGAGAAATTAGTAATATAGGTCAAACAAAAATTTATGGAGTTATGCCTTTTGTAGCACCTGAAGTATTAAAAAGAAAACCTTATACTCAAGCAGCAGATATATATAGTTTTGGTATGATTATGTATTTTGTAGCAACTACAAAACAACCTTTTGCCAATTGTGCTCATGACAATATATTAGCATTAAATATATGCAATGGAATTAGACCTGAAATAAATGAAAAGGAAGCTCCAAAATGTTATATTGATTTAATGAAAAAGTGTTGGGATTCAAATCCGGATAATAGGCCAAATGCTATTGAAGTAAGTGAATTGATTGAATTATTTTGTAAATCTTGCAATGCATCAGAAGATATGATAGAAGATGAGAAAATTGGGAAACAATTTGAAGAAGCAGAAGAATATAGAAAAGCAAATCTTTTATCAGTTAAAAATAGCAAATTAACTACTCAACATCCACAAGCTTATTATACTTCTCGATTGCTCAATCCATTTACAAAAGATCTTTCAAATGATACTGATTGTTTAGACTGTATGATTGATGATTGAACTAAAGTTAGTATAATTATTATTTATTTTTATTGCTTCAGTCAAATAGTTTAAAAAAGTAATTACTGTATTTATTGAATGTTGGTATATATGATATATATGATAATATTTGCTTTGATAATATTTGATATATTTTTTATTTTATATTTATATCATTATTTGTAAGAATTATTGGTCGTCCTTGTAATGATGATAAATCTTCCACACATCCGTCCATATTTTTGAAACTTCAACAAAGTTTTAGAAACAGTAAATTTGCCAATATTAATTTTACATGAGGATTTTAAAATTCTATTTATCATATTATAGCATGAAATATAAAAGGTCAATACATTATGAAAACTTATATATTCTAATTACAATTTGATCCTAAACTCCTTATTTTATATAGAATGCAACAAATTTAGCCTACTTATTAAATATTAACTAGGATTTAGGAAATTATTAATATTTTTTTTCTTTATTGATTGATATCATTGTATTTTGCTCAACACTAATTATAGAGTATTATATGTGATTTTTTTTGCATAAGTAAAATTAGTTTGTAATTGAACAAATAAAATACAAGATTTGAATATGAACTTATTGAAAGTATATTTATATTTATTATTAACTATAAGCAAATTATAATCATCATAACATTTTTTTGATCTATTATTATTAGCAACAATTATATATTGTAATGAAATTTTAAAATTATTATATATTTTACAGATTTTACTTTTAATTGAATATATAGAAAGTAAGTAACGGAAATTGGCTAAGTAAGTAATATAAGGTCACATGATCTATTACGTTACTTCTCTTATATATTAAAGGTGTGGAACGTAAATTTTTTGGTAAATACTTTATGTTACTCTTATTGCTAGGGTCTTTGATCACACGACGGATTTAATATTTTTGATTGGCCAAATTGGCCACATGATTCGCGTCATGTTTATTTGTTAATGAATCTTGTTTTCAGTATAGGTTCATTTCATCAGTTCTTTCGGCCTCTCTTTTATTTTTATTTCTAACTTTGCATTCTGCTTACGCTTTGTTTCTTACTAACTCTATTTCATCATTTTTAGGTAGTTCTGCAATTAAGGTTCAGTTGTTTTTCACTTTAGCTTATATTCATTATATATTTCATTGGGTACAACAAAATAAAATCATTATTTTGGGTGCGAGCATATTTTCAACTAGCTCAACCTGTTTGTTAGGTACCAACACCTGATATTCCGGTAAGGAGAAACTTGTGTTTTAGATTTGAAGCCTTTACAGATCAATATTTTACCAATAATTCATAGATATTTACATATGTCTTTCTCACATATAGTGAGGATTTCTCATTCACTGGAAGATTCAAATCACTAGGATGTTTAATTATATCTTTGGGACCAGGTTCTTGAAACTGGCGTTTTGTTGTTGATAACTGAAGTTGGTACTGTAACCGAGCTTTATTGTCTGAATCTTATAAATGTAAGTGAAAGGGTGTTAGCTCACATGCTTCTAGTAATTACACATCCATTTATTGATATTACCTATTAATTTTCGTCTCTTAGTAAATACTTCAAAGGTCAGAAGTTGATATTTCCCTAGTGGTTAATAAAAAAATGTTGCGTTAGAAACTGGCTACATATTGGGTTACTAGGAGACTAAAAAAACAAAATTAATTAATATGTATCGAATATGAAAAAGCTTTCATGTATTTTTTAGATTATGGAAAAAAAAAAACTCTTTCCCCTTTCCGTTTTTTTATTAAAATTCTGCAGTATCCTATTTTTCTCACGAATAAAATAAAAAAAAAATTTTTTCCAAGAGGAGAGGACCACGAGGTGGCCTCTACGGAAAGGCTTCCTCTCACTTTAACTGTTCTTTGAAAGAGCTAGAGATGGAAAATAGTACTATCTCTATAGAACATATGCCTCTAGAGGCTATTTCTTTTCTTTCTTTACAAAATACTTTTCGAAAACCCACTTCTCATTATGAATATAGTCTCCTTATTTCGGTGGAAAAATTTCATGTGAATATTAATAATCGTACCGATTATAATAAGATTTACGAAATAAGACGCTCAAAAAGTTACTTTTTTGAGCTGGCCGATCAATTTTCAGGCACCAATGATATTCATCTTATCATACACACAAATGATTACCACATGCAGACTAAACCGATTCGGTATACTTCATCGAGTCCATTTCCCAACAAGAAATACCAAATTAGTAAAATGCTCACGCACTTCTTTTCCTTACAACGAGTGATTCCACGTAGAATACAACAAAGATATTTTAACCTTATCCGCCGCAAACTATTGGATCAGTTTGATATTATCCGATCACGTGCAGGCAATACTCTTTTACCTGACAATGAAGATCACCCTCACCCCGGAAGTCAACATAACAAATCTTCCAAAACTTTCTTCAATTTCTTGTACAAGAGATATCATTTTCACTTCGCTGTTATACCCCTTGCCAACATTTAATGACTCTAAAAAAGTCCAAAGATATATCTTTTTGCCGTGTACCTAGTCCTTTCGTCATGACTAATGATCGTCATGCTTGTGTCGATCATCAGAAAGAGTTTTTTCGTAATCGACTCTTCCATTCTACAAGACATTATGTTTTACGAGATCAAGTCCCGCCTAACTCCAAAACCTCCCATGCTCAACTACTCTACAATAGATGGAAAGAAGGCACCGGAAAACAAATCTTTTCGCGACGCCTCGGCATTGAATACTCTATGAATTACCTGGCTGGAAGTAATAAAAACATCATCCGCCTACATCACCGTCACATGTATATGAAACGGTTTTCTAACTTCAGATTCATTCCCTTTCCTAATCCAAAGACTAAAAAGGATCAACAAAAGCGTTTCAAACGAAATTGCAATAGAGTTTTTAATACCCGTTACGATTCAGCATGTACTAGTTTCGAAGCGAAACTTAAAGCTGCTTGGAAAAATCATTTTATTTTTCACAAATCTCAAACTGTTCACAAGACCCTTTCACATCTCACTTATTCACGGAAATCGGTAATCCCGATGCTAATGTTTACAAGTTTAACATCCCATTTTACGAACCCCTAGGTGTACCTCCAGTCTCTCAAGAAGACCTCTCATTAGATGAACCTAAACTCAGGTTCTCTGGTATATTCAAAGTTGATCTACCCTCTAACGCACCCCGACTTAATTTAAATTCATCAGGAATCCAGATGAATAATTTTAATTTCAACCAATTGACAGACGCTTCGGCGTCTAACGACATTATTACTTTCTCTCCACATCCTGCACACACCATGGTCGCCACAGTGGAAAATTACGACCCACATCAAAGGAACGTGTGCGATCCACTTAAACCTTTCGTCCCTAGATCTCCCATCTATGATGAATACGGACATTACTTACCACCCGATTCTGTTGGATGGTTAAGTGTTGTCGAGAATTCCTTCATACTAAGATGACAACCCGACCTAGTGGCCGAGGTACAGGAATTACAATCAGATAGGCGTACTAAATTGAAGCCTAAAGAATTTCAATGTCGGCTAGATAAGGCCAAACGTAAATCAACCCTACACATTTATCATGGCACTAGTGCCAAACACCTTCAACGTCGTCTAGATACTACGACCCACCTTACCACCGTACAAACTACCTATCACCGGTACATGAACTATGCGACCGGCACTTGTTCAGACCGCCTTTACGAGCGTGAACGACAACGTTACCAGTCTTATCTGGATTCTCTCCCTAAAAAATATATGCTCCCACACCTCGAGGACATCGCCTATAATGACACCTCTGACGATACTAAACGCCTCGAAGTTCGTCTTAAGAAACGGGACACTCTTAATAACCTCTGCGATCGTTATCTTCACAGAGACCAAATTAAACGTATACGACTGGATACAGATTACCCTATTGACTCCCCTGTTTCTAGTTCAAACAAATCTTAGATTTTGTTAATTTTCATTAGTTTTGTATACACATTTGTAATGAGTTCAAATTTTGACAGCTTTCTTTCCTTTATCTTACACTAATCAACCTCTACCCTTATTAGTGTAGATTGAAGTTTAACTAAATTAGAACAATTAAGAATAGTGTGAATCATTCCACCTCTGACAGTATTTACAGGTGGTCACCCTAGTGGGTGAAAAGAAAAATACGGGCTGTTTCTCTTTTTTTGTTTCAGTTGTTTTTTTAGTTCTTCTTTTTCATTCGATAGTACTTTCTAGACTCCCGGTTATGCCTAATTGTTCTAATGAATAAGAGGCAAGATGACCCCTTCGGGCTCCTCCCGAGAGGTTGGGTTTATCATTAGCTTAGAATTTATTGTTTTTTTAAATCATGTTTATTCTTATTTAGTGTTTGACCCCAGTCGAGTCTATATTTTAAAAATAAAAATAAAAATAAAAAATTTTTTAGATTATGGATTATAATTACTTTTGCTATAAAAAAGGTTATTACAATGCGAAAGGCTTAGATTTGACATATCTCTTCGAGAAGTCAGCTTTTTCATTATTTTTTGATGGTTGAAAGGACTCCTTTGTTGCATCTTTATCAATGAAAAAAATATGTAGCTCAGTTTTTCTTTACATGTATAAAGAAGGTTATAAAGATAGAACTTGTATTATTGACTTAAAAGGATTTTAAAAAAGAAAAATAAGATTTACGTATGATTTATCAAGTTATGTGATTGCGTCTTAAATCTGAATAAACTTTTGATTATGGGGACGCACTTCTTATTAATATTAGCTGATCGACACAAAAGAATTTGTCATCGTAAAATATTAGCGGGGCAGAATGACTGCAGATTATGTATTGTAATGCTTTGTGATATGGTCCTTACCACATTGAGTCGGTAACAAAATATTCTTTTATTTAATAATAAAATATGATAAAAATATAAGATAATAATAATAAATACATTAAATTTATGTGAAAATTTAAAAAGATTCTAAAAACATCTATATTGAATTAATCCTCTATTTATAATAAATCATAAATCGGCAATATTTATTAAATGAGGCTCATGATTTATTTGGGGCTTAGGAAAGACCAAAATACGAAAGTATTTTAATAAGATATAAAGACCTAAAAATGGAAATCTAAATTAGAAAAATTGATGTGAATAATATTTGAATATTCATTTTCATATGTCCAGTTTATACTCATGTTGACAGGAGTTCTATATACTTAAACTAAATATGAAACTGCGCGTCTGCGCCATATACTTAATAAATTCACTAGATAATTCCAGCATTAATCACTTGTGTTTTCTGTAAACTGATTGGTTAAAACAATGATTCCTTGTTATATATAAATGGAATAGGTTATCACCTCATCACCATATATTAATTATAAACTAGAGTAACTTGGTAATTGTTAGTGAGTTATAATCATTATACTGTCAGATTGACTCGAAAATTTTGGGTCGGGTCATCAAACGTTTTTATAATTAAATATAAAAAAAATTGATTTTTTTTT